AATTGCCGCACTCACACGTAGCATTTGCAGCATTTACTGCATTGCAAGGGACAGCAAAAAATTATGTATAAAAGGATTACAAAGGATTAAGTTACAAAGTACGCATAATTTGCTAACAAAATATGTTTAAAATCATGGAAAAGGCACAAGTTCTGCTACACGCCAGCGGCAATTTTCATAAGCCAACAAAATATGACACAAACCAAAGAAAAACAAAAAAAAAATAAAAAAAAAATAAAAAAAAAGATTGAAAATGCGGAAAAAAGGTAATAAAGAGTTGTTATTGTTTTGGTTGTTGTTGTTGTAGTAGCGGCTATTGTAGCTGCCGCCGTAGCTGTTGTACCACACATAACTGACCCAGTTTACTTAACATTTTTTTATTGTCCTGTTATGAACATATTGTTGAGTATATAAATCTGCTATCATTTAGGTTCATGTAACATAAAATGAATATGAAAACTGGCCACTTAAAACTCCCACAATATCCCGTGCAAATTTTTTTTTTTATTCCAATAACTTTTTTTATGTACGAGTACTTATTTTTGTGTAGTTTACTTTCTGTTGTTTTTATTGTTGTTGTTGTAACGTACTCTGTAATTTATAGCAATGCGAGCACGTGAGGCATAATTTTATCATTCATAAATAACGTTGATATTGTAAATAAAGTGTATGAGGAAACGAACACACGCACATACATATATACCACCAACTAGCATGTAGACGACATGCAATAAAAACAAATACAAATACAAACACACCCAACATAAAATCACCTGGCCGCAAATGAAATTACTAACACTTGACCTCCCACAAATTTGAACCCATACACAAGCCCGTAACCAACATCAAACCGCCATTAAGTAACAGCAGCAGCAGCAGCAGTAGCAACAACATTGCCAGCAAATCGTAAAGCACAATTACAGCGCAAAACTTAGCTGCGCTATTTCGCTGCCTAACATGTGGTCAGCATGTGTTGATTGACGCTGTGCTTTCATGTTTTTATACCCGCAATGTAAAATTTTCGAAAAAAGAAAAGTACTCACCCCAGCTTAGTGGCTCAACATAAAAAAGCTGCCGGCATTGCTGGCCATAGTTTTTTGGTTTTCTTCTATATTAATTTCATAACCTCACTGTTGTCGTTATTATTGTTTTCTGTGCATTAGCTTCACGCATTACTGTTGCTTAACAGCGAACGTCAACAGCCATCATTTTGGTTTGGTTTTGCAGCGTCGTCACAATTTTTGCTGCGTACTGCTCACTATTGCTTGGTCTTTTGACTGTTATTTCTACAGCGGCGTTGACTGCTTGTTGAATTAATTACCACTTAAAGGTTTGTGTTTCTGTTATGTTTACAGGTATTTTAAACTGTTTTTTTTTTAATTTTATATTTGGGGTTTTGACTGTTTTGTGAAACGGCTGCATTCTAATTTGTTAACTTAAATTAATAAATTACTTTGCTGTCAAATATTATTTAAATATATTTCACCAAAAACAATAATCATTTTATAAGAAAATTAAACAAAATTTGGTAAAATTTACGTAATTAATAAAAGTAAAATTTAATAATTCCCATTTATTTTCGAATAAAATGCTAATACTAATCTTCTTAAGTCTTTTTATATAAAAAATTTTATGACTTTGGTTGAGAAAAAGCTAGAACTCTACACTAACTACAATAACTTTATTTATATACGAAACATCAGATGGACAATGGGTCATACAATGTCATAATTGATAATAATCAGATATACCGACCTGTTTCCTGAGTTATATTTTTTCTGTTTCATATTAGCCCATTGAAGTAATTATAAGTTTAATCTTTCCACTTTCACCAAATAAATCCATAGAGTCTACATAAGAACTATACAATTTTACACATGTCCCAGTAGTTTTTTATGTTGTCTACAAATAAATTTCCTTGGATAATTATGTCTACAAATGCAAAATTACTAATAGACATAATACATACATCGTACAATAAATAGACAAATGTTTCTCCTGCAATTTTTTTCAATTCAAGTAGTATGGATTTCCCAACTTTGAAATTTATTCAGTTGAATTTAGAAATACTCTCCATTTTAACTGACCACAATAAACTGCACTTATCTTTAACATTTATTCTTAGTGGTTCCGTTGTAGTTAAGGTCGAAGGTTCAATAATCGCGTAATTAAAAAACATGTTTTCAATAAAAAAGTAACGGAATTGGAGATATATTGGCTTAATTCACATTTTAACCACCTTAAAAATGGTTGTATAAATGTATCTAAAAATCAATTAAACTGCATAATAAGTATTTTATAAACCGGTTTTAATCAGGAATATTAATCTAGTGTAACCAGGCA